TTATTATTATTATTATTATTATTATTATTATTATTATTATTATTATTGGTGGTTCAGACTTATTATTAATTGTACATTTAAGATCAGTTTCCTTACATATCTTTTACTTGGGACTTCAAATAGGCCACAGAAAAGAATAGCAAAGTTAGCAAATAGCTAACTTCATAATTTTGTGCTTAAAAATAAATATGGTAATATGTGAACTTAATTTGTGTGCCTCTGCTGACATGGAACAGCTCTAAGCACAAACTTTGTTGTTTCACTTTACACAGTATACATAATACTGTTTCATTTTTTCTTAAAATGTTCTTCTAATTACATAAGGATATCAATTAGCACAAAAATATTTGCAAACAAGCAAAACACTTTTAGTAAGGAAATGGAAAAAAATATCCAAAGCTAAGAAATAAAATAGCAGAATAGCATGAAATATTTAGAGAACCATGATCAATAATTGTTTTGCATAATTCAGGAATAATAATTATTCCCATAAATACGAATATCTACTTAATGCCCCTGAAAAGGAATAATGTATCAGACAGAAAACCATGTTTGGAAAAAAATTAATATTATTCAACATGTTTGACTTAAATATTTCCACATAACAAAAGTGTTATTTTCAAGTCACCAGCTATATTACTTATATACATATGTCCAGAGTTAACAAAAGAATTATGAGATGTCCTATCAAAAACAGTGATTTTTCCTTTTTTTTTTTGGAAATAGAAAGTACTAGTCTTATAATACACAAAATATAAATTATATGTACAGATAGTTTTTTTTCTGGAACTGAGAAACAAATTAAAAGCAATAATATTTTCATAAAGATATAACATGTCTACATTGCATTAAAATGAATCAATACTGATTTTGAAATGTTCATCTAAAGTTGAAAACTTTATGAACACTTCTTGAAACAGGAATTATTATTTACAAAATATACTCATCAGCCACACAGAGGCTTAAATATCTGTATATATACACACATACATATATATAACATATAAAGAAATTTTAAAATCTCAACGTAAAATTAAGCAAGATTCTTCTGTCTTTGGAATGTCTAAAACAGAACTTATGCTTTATTTCCAATGTGGGTCTTTTTGATATGATTATACCTCTTTCGAATGAATGGGACCTTTCAGAGTAATACTGAAAAAGCCTAGGTAGTCTTTAAAAATTTTATAACCCTCAAGACAAATTGATGACAATATTAACAAGGACTTCTAATCCGAAGCTATCTTTCAGAATGACTGTGCTGTAACTTAATCTGCAGCTAATTTGATCTTCTTAAGGAATATATTGTTCTTATAAGTCCTACCATCTTGAATATATGGCTTATTTTTTATAGTTATTCAGCAAAAGTTTCTCTGCTGAAAGATCCACATGAAAATATATGCGTTCATCATTTACTTCATGGAATCGCAGTTGTTAAGTGTTCCTTTGAATTATTGCTGAGTTTAAAGGGAAGAAATAATAGCACTCATCAAATGAAATGAATACGAGCTATCATCCTGACATATCTGCCAACACCAATTAAAGGTCTTAAACAGCCTTAGATCATGTACTATCTGCACTGGAGCATGCATCATCTACGGCACCCATATGATTTTGTTTCAAATACTCAAGACATTCCTCATGATTGACAGAACATCCAAGAAGGACTATTTCACTGATTTCAAGGTCTGGGTGTATTTCCATTTTAGAGAATACACTTATGGTGGAATGAAAAGATAAACAAGTTCCATCTACCTGAGATCACTGATTGTAGACAATACAGCAAAGTTTGCCTGGTGTTTCTTAAATATTCTATATGTTTACAAAAGACAGGTAATTTATTCGGTGTTTCATAATATTTAAAAAGCTATATCATCCTTATTATTTGCAATGCGCTTTAATAGTAAAAATCCACAGATGACTATTTTTAGAAAAAGGGGGGGGAAATCTAGTCCTGAAAGCGTTCGCAGCTTTCATCTTATAGTCATCAAAAAATATTGGTTATACTCTGCCATTCGTTTGAAGATTCTTGAACAACTTCTTCCAAATTCAGGGCACGATTAATGTCTTCGCCTTCCTGTCCTTGATGACTGGTCGATTCTTGCATTGCACCTATCATAGTAAAAAGATAAAGAATAGTAAGAGAAATAAATAAATAGAGAAAGAAAGAAAGAAAGAAAGAAAGAAAGAAAGAAAGAAAGAAAGATTTGAAAAAGAGAAAATAAGAGCCTGGGAGTAAGGGAACTTAGCGAGGCTTGTTTTGAGTAAATACCTATCAAAACTTTAATTTAAAGAATAATACTCATCACTTTTCTTTATTGCTATCATTTTGACACAGAACACTACATGCAGTTCTAGTCTGTAGTATGTCCATTTCTTTTAACAGAGTAGTTTTTTCAGAAAAATCAATAATTAATTTGTCTATTAAAATTTATATGTCAGTCCTCAAAAGTAAGGGAGCTCTATATGCATAAATACTCTTTGTGATTAAGAAAGTAACATACAGAAATTGTCATCTGTAAATTCTACTTTCCAACCCTATCATTTAATGCAGTTTCCATGGCTGTATTTATTCATGATATAGCCATCGAAATTGCACAATGAATAAAAATCAAAAGAAATTTCACAAATATAAAGACCGAATATATATTTGATTTATTGTGCTTCTTAGAGGTGCGCCAGAAAAGAATGATTGCTTTTCTTCTAGTAAGCCAGATTTATTACAAATCTTAGGTCTTCTTACAATATAATCAAGTTTCTACAGTATATTTTTACATTACTGTGACATCAATTAAATGTACAGTGTTTTATTTCATGTCAACATAGTCTCTAGAAAAAAATTCAGCCTTCTTGTTCAGTACAGGTAGTGCTCATTTATCCATAGAAAATTGGGATTGGCATTCCATTACTAATTGATGTGGTCATAAAATATACGATATCACATGACCATATCATTTACCATTGGCAATCCTATAAGCCCTTATTGATGTTGTTAAGTGAATATCATGGATATTAGGCAAGGACTTCATATGACTGCGACTTGAGACTTCCTGCAGACTTCCCACAAAATCAATGGAAAGCCAGTGAGAAATCTCAAGTCCCCTAAGGCTCACAATCAGGCAGGCAGGAGGGTGAGTACTATGGAGGAGGGGTGCGGTGCTCCAGTGAGTATAGGTCCGTGTGGATTGGTGAAATGTGTGCAAGTTAGGGAGGAGATGCTGTACCGAGGCCCAGGTATGGGTGGCAGGCTGGCAGGAGAAGGGTGCTAACATGACATCCCTGGGATTGGGTACTCCATAGCAAAGATGTTCAGGAGAAAATTGGTGGGAGCAACTAGAACCTTCCCTGCTGGCTTCCCCACTTCCTTTGTTTGTAACTTGGCAGGGAAAGTTCCAAATGGTAATCACATGACCACAGGATGCCGTACCTGTCAAAAGTATGAACCAATTGCCAAACACCCAGATTCTGATCACCTGACGGCAGGGGTGCTGGGACAGAATACCACTCATTTAGTGCCACCATAATTTCAATGAATGGTTTTTAACCACAGGACTTGTAAAACAGGAAAATCAGGCTTATTCCCCTTTGAAGACATATATGCACGTATCATTTATATAAACCTTATATAAAGATGATGCATGCAGGTTTGGGAGTTTGTGACTTCCATTTTATTGACTCAGTGGTGTTTTTATGATAATTAACTGTTGGCCTTCCTAGAGGTCCCTGTATAAATAGGCAAGCAAACCTTCATTTGCTCCAGTATCTATCATACATAAGCAAAGCAAAAAAAGATGGTCTCACATCTCCGCCCCTAATAGTCAATACATATGTTGATTAGAAAGCCACTCTTGTCAACTCCATTTTAAACTGCTGTTGAAATCATTTTATTTTAATAAATACAATCTGGTCTGGTAAATTTGAGTTGGATTGGGTAGTGATTGCAATGTTAAAGAAAGTTGTTTGTCTGTATATTGTTAGATATAAAAACAACAATCAGTTTATTGGCAAATAAATGTGCTAATAAATGTGTGAATGGATAAAGAGACTAACAAACTTCTTTTGTTTTCTCAGCCTCAAGTACAGTTACTTGTATACTAATTTGAATATGTTCTCACTCCTAACCTTAGAGGCAGTATTCCCATTTGTCATTAAAATGTACCAAGAACATTTTTCTAAAACCAAGCTTTTACTCTAAAGAATATAGAATATACTGCAACTTTAAACCCATATTGTATGTGCCACTGTATTTTCAAACCTACCTATGTTTTCATTCAAGAGTTAAATAAGAATTTATAGAGACTAATGAACAAATTTCTCCCTCAGATGTTCTGCAAGTGGATTTTATCTGGATGGCTTTGATCTTCTCATCTTCTATTATCTCCTAAAACCTTATTCTGTCTTATGGGCTAGTTAGTTATTTTTCCTCAATGATCTTCATCCTCTTCTGGTCTTCAGACTATGCCTAACAATTGTTTTTAGCATTGCAATCACTGCCCAATCCAACTCAGATTTACCAGACCATACTTATTAAAATAAACAAAATATCTCCAATAGCCACTACTGTTGACTCCATTTTAAACTGTCAATAATTTTTTCCACACCTCCATTCCAATTCCTACATTTCTCTTAGGTGTTTTTAAGGCTTTCCCCTTCATGTCAACCCAATCCAACGGCTTCTCCTTCTATCTCCTATGAGAGAAGCGGTCCTATAAAAAATTAAAATAACATCCACATTTATCTACCTGTTTTCTGCAAAGCTAGCAGAAATTGGCACCTAAAGATTTATTTGCATTACAACTCAGGCATCTGAATAGATGACAAGCTGGCTGGGAGACATGGCTAATGCAGGTGCATCACACCCTACTTTCATTCTCGTGGCTCACATTTTTGCCTTACATTTTATTCTTCACTCACAAAATGGGAAAACTTAACTGTGTTCCAAAATGCTTTTTCAAACTCAAATACAGAACTGAAATAATTAATTTATGTATTAGTTAGAGGCATATTCAGAAGCTGAAAGTAGAACACATAGTGGCACCTCCTTCTCATTTTCCCTAAAAAAACACCCTGCAAGGTAGGATTTTTCCATACTTCTCAACTCTGCCACCTGTAAAATTGGACTGGAATATAACTGTACTGCACAACTGAAAACATTTCTGTTCAATAAGCAACTGAATTACATTAATACCCCTGTCATGCATTGTCTTAAAGATTAAGAGCCAGAGCACAAAGCCCAATTCTTATAGTGCTTGGTACAATCTAAGAAAATTAGAAATTTTGAGTCTCTTCAGTATAATGCTATAAAATAAAGAGATATGCCAAACTTTCTCAAAGCAAATATCACATTACCGTGAGCCCGTTTCATATGAAGCTTCATGTTGCTTTTCTGGGTGAAGCCCATTGTACAGTAATCGCATTTGTATGGCCTTTCCCCTGTATGTTTTTTCATATGAACTTGCAGTGCACTCTTCTGGTTAAAAGCTTTCTCACACAAGGTACATTGAAAGGGCCGCTCACCTTTGGTAAAGAAGCAAAGAAATAAGAACAGATGAACTGACCCAAAGGCAAATTGTAACAAAAATTCCTTAAACCCCCCATTTCTTCTAATGTGACCTGAAAAATATCTTTCTCATTTCAACCAAGCTAAGCAATCATCTAGTCCGTTGCAAAATACATGGGCTTAGTGCCATAGTCACAAATGTTCAGCAGCCATAATACAGTATGCTGGAAATTGCTATAGGAGAATAAAATGGGATGGTGATTTTCTTAGCCTGCCTTCGTGCAAAATAACCATCATATTATCCAAACAAAAGTCACTTTAATACATTTCTTAAAGGTCACCTATGTTAACATATTCTCGGGGATGCAGCGATTCTACTTGAACGTTTGCCTAGAAATATGACCCTCCCCAAATATCACAAAGTGGTTGAAGACTCTTATTTCTCTTCCACCACACATGTTCCCCAGGTAACGTGGCATTTCCTCCATTGGTTTTCAAATAATTTATTTGATCTGAGCATGCTGCAACTGCAAGAGAAATAATTTCAGATAGACCATATATGCAATGTTTACATTATGTCCTCTACCGCTGCAGACAGAATGGGAAGCTATCAAAGCAGGATACATAGAATATGGAGGAAATGCAATTAATAAGAGAGGTTCTGCAGCTGTTCAGAATAGATTCCAACCCTCTGGATCCTTCTTTCCTGAAGAGCAGCGCCTACAGATAAGAACTGTCTTGCATGAAGAGGACAGCAGCCCAAGTAGATACCTTAGACACTTCGTCTGATAGGTCATGTCTACAATCCATGAATTGTAATAAGGGTGCGCTTTCTCAATATAGCCTCAAAAATGCATGGTGGTTAAAAACAAATGAGGTTTCTTTGCCCTTAATTAGACATAATTTGACATAATTAAACATAATTAACAGAATGGTTAGAATCTAACCTCAAGTACTGCAATAGGTATCACTCAGTACTGCTTAGTTACCTGTATGGATGCGACTATGTCTTTCCAATTGACTTGGTTTAGCAAAGGCTTTTTCACAAGTATCACATTTAAATACTCTTGGCTTTTGGGAACTCGGTGATGGTCCAGCCTGATGTGTTTGCATATGCTCCTAATCAAAGACAAAATACATTTCATTTGGCACATTTTTTAAATAATAGAAATATATTTGGAGGGTTGTTAATTTGGTTCCCATCTCTACAACCCTATATTTATTTTGCAGATCTGGCCCAGGGGTGTTTGAGCAAAAGGACAAGAAATGTGCAATGATATGTGAAACACAACACTTCAAAGACAGACACTACACTATTGCTACATATGTCTACTTTAATGAAAAGAAGGACTAGGGTGTGACATGATAACAGTGTTCCAATATCAAAGGGGCTGCCACAAAGAAGAGGGAGTCAACCTATTCTCCAAAGCACTTGAAGGCAAAACAAGCAACGGATAAAAAGTAAACAAGGAGAGAATCAATCTAAGGAAAATTTTCCAGCGAGAACAATTAATCAGTAGAATGACTTGCTTTCAGAGGTTGTGGGTGCTGTAAGACTGGAGGTTTTTAAGAAGAGATTCTACCAGCTGCCTGAAATGGTGTAAAATCTCCTGCTTGAGCAGGGGATTGGACTAGAAGATTTCCAAGGTTCCTTCCAACTCTGTTATTCTGCTATTTATAATTTCTACATATAATATTAGAAAGATAAACATCACATGTGTCTAGATTCTACATGTATAAAGAACAGTGATGATCCTGGGCATGGCACAAAAGCAACACAGTCACGTAAATAAGAAAAGTCCCTTTAATACCTCCAACTTTGCCCCCAATGTCCAGTTACCTTCGGCTGGAGAAAAAACTCTCCCAAAAACAGTCTTTAAGTGGAGGAAATTCAGTCCGAAAACAAAGTATATATAAACTGTAAATAAAAATCCACACAAACCACGCTGCAGCAATTAACTGGACAGGGCAGGAAGGAATTGCAGACTTCAAAGGCCAACAAAACACACACAGTTGGGAAGACGCCAGGGACCCAGATAAGCCTCGACAATAAAAGATAACTCATGATTTGCTTCCAACAAGTTGCTGTGCGCAATCTCCCATTAGCTGCAGCTAATGAAGGGAATCGGGGCCCTTTCCTCCCCCGTAAGCCACGCAACTCACATTGCTCCCTTCTCCGTTCCTCCCTGTGCGCCCTAGGATGAAGAGGGGGTGGGCCTGGATCTTCCTCTGAATTCCCTCTGCCTTGTTCTACCTCTCCCCTGCTCTGCCCAGCCAGACTTTGCCCTTCCCCAGTTTCTTCCACTGCCATTGGAGCCCCACTCCCACTCCCTGTCAGCTGCTCGGCCTCCCCCTCGGAATCAGATTCTGACAGGGGCATGACAGAACTGCTAGTTCATTAAACGTTCAAACATAACAATTTCTAATTTTTACTGAAGAAAACTATGATTCAGAATGAAATACCGGTATTTGTTTGTTTTTTTTCAAACTAAGATTTAGTCATCCTGATAACAAGTGGAATTCCTACTGCTTCCTACTTGAAACAATATTCAAGGTGACATAATAAAATATAATGGTATTTATGATTGCAACATTAAATAAAACAACAAAGAAAGAAAACACAAGCAACTGGGCCAATACTTTTGAACACTTTGTCTTCATAAAATCTTTTTTCAAGATTTTAATGAAATACTGAAACACAGAGGTGTAAATAGTAAGCTCAGGTTTCCTTAGGGAAAGTCAATAAAGTGCCACGGAATTACATTGCCTATCCTGCTAAGGGGAAACAAAATTGTTTCTATAAAAAATGTGCACCTGGAAGGAAGTTTGCTCATTTGCTAGAATAAGTACTTCGGTTCAACTAATAGTTGCCATGGAAGTACAGAGCTGAAGGAATGATAGTACAACCTTCCCTTTGAATAAACACGAAAAATGGGTGCATGGATATTCCAGCAATAAGATCAAACAACCTGAAATCCTGAAGGTAGTGCAAAATTCAATTAAATATCAGGGTTGTGCAAAACCTTTAAAAAAGGTATTCTGCACTATGCACGGAGTACTCCCAGATATTGTTGAATTATTTTGCTCTGATGGATAGAAAATGTTGCAAAACTTCTCCTTAAAAGGTTTTGCACAGTTCTACCAAGGATTTGGTAATGGTAAAGTCTCTGAGTTCACTACAAATCATGGCAACTCCCATTGATAAGTTGTTTTCTTGACAGCAATAAGGTCGCCCTTTATTATTTCCTTCTTCTGGGGGATGTTTTCAAGTCCTTCAAGTCTGTAAAGATTCTCAATTATCCAGGTCACAGTTGTCCCAAAAGTGCTTTTTCAAGAAGCAAACAAGAACATCCAGTTGCCTCCTGAAAAAGCACCTTTGGGACTTCAAGTCCTTAATTTATCCAAATACCCTAACCTGGAAGTCTCCTATCCAACTAATAACCAGGCTCAACTGTTAAACCTCAGAGGCAAGACAAGACTGATCACAGGTTCCCATTATTTTCTCCCCTCCTTCCTAGCATTTTCCTGCAAGCGCAGGATCCGTTCCCTCACCTCCTCTCCCGGATCAATCCGGCATTCACATATTGGTTGTGACAGGAACTGACCAACCAGCTTGTCACCCAAGCCTGGTATTGTGGGTTGAGACAGAGATTGTGCCAAAGTCCATCAAGCTAGCTTTTTAAATTTTTATTAAAAGAGTTTAATTTTGTTTCATACCTTCAGATGCGTGGCTCGTTTGAAAGCTTTACTGCAAATATGACAGACGTGGATTCTTTCCTTTCCATGAACTTCCTTGCTATGCTGCATTAGTACAGTGATTGAAGAAAACGTTTGACTACACTCAAAACAATGATGCATGCGGGACTCTTTTTCAACTTGAATACCTTTTGACAGAGGTGGAGAAACATCACTCACCTGTAACAGGGACATAAAATACATAGGCAAATAATTATGGCAAATGCAACCCACAAAACATTTGTGAGAATACTGAATTGCCTTTTCAGACACCAATTCTTCTATGTAATAAGGGATTAATAATCTTGTTAGCAACTTCCTGCAAGATACGTGGATACGTATGTGGATACAGACCACACATCATGCACAGGTAATCTGATAAAAGAATCAGGGTGTTCAATACTTTTTCAACCCAACTTAGGGATACCAATTTCCCCATGAATGTGTTTCATTATGTGACAGATTATTTTGCTGTCGAAATTACCCCTCTCACATGGAGTAGGAAGGCGGGATCAGTTTGTCAACCATAACAGGCAACTGTCTCTTCATCTTCTGTATAAACTTTCTCTAGAGTGATTTTTCCAGTTTCCCAATCAAGCCTGATATTACTATAAAATTATATTATTATATTATATGAAGTGGAACTGAGTGAGTGAGCAGAAGTGCCCTCCGCTTAAGTGCCCTCCGCTCGCGCAAGCAGAGCTTCCCACATGCATGCTTGCCCGTCCACTCGCACGCCCCGGTTTTTAACAGCCCATGGCCCGGTAGTAGGCTGCAGCCCAGGGGTTGGGGACCCCTGCTCTAGGCAGTTTTCAATGCCAGCATTATTTGCATAATGCACCCAACAATCTGGCTCCTCATTTTATCAACTTCAGAAGGATGGAAGGCTGAGTCAACTGTGAGCCTCGTCAGGATCAAATTCCAGGCTGTGGGCAGAGTCAGCCTGCAATATGGTACTTTAACCACTGTGCCACCAGGGCTTTTCATAGTCCAGCATTCATATATATATTTCACCTAATTTCCTCTTTTGCTTTTGAGGAAAGGAGATGCCAACCTTACCCGTAGACCAGACACAGCCAGATAAACTAATTCTACTTTATGGTAAAGCTAAATTAACTGAATCTTTTAAGTCTGAAAGTAAAATCTCCTGCCATCTCTTTTACAGCCCAAGAAACTAGGGACAAATTTTTCTGAGTCTTTTGCTCCACTCACTGTCTAGCTGTGGACTATGCCCGCTCTTATCTGACCATCCCAAAATCTTTCCCACATACCATTACAGAAATTTGGAAACTTCTATTTCTGATATGCAAGTTAAGTTTTATGATACTGTTTGTTTAAAACCCATAGACTTGGTTTGTTTCAAACTATGTTTGCTGATTTGTGGTGCAATAATAAACCCAGAACACAAGATTTCTATCTCAGCCAAGTAGTTGGATGGATCAAAAAGAATATGTAGACCTAAAGTTAAAATTATAGTTGTGCTTACAACTATAAAGAGACACACAGGAACAATTCTGCTTACATTAAGCTATTGTTTCCAAACAAGGTGTTCTATATACAGAGTTCTATATCAGAGTTATATGGACTCAGATAGTTTGAGTTGCTGCAGATGACTTAGGCATAACCTAAGTTACCAAGTAAAAATCATGTCAGCACTGTAGTGATTATGACCACAATTTGGGTTAGTATAATGAAGATTGAAACCCGTAGTCTTTATATTCCATTTTCTAAATCCTCAAAATAAGATTTTGTATAGTTGACAACTTCATGTGCCATTCTGTTAAATTATCCGTGGCGGGGTGAGAGCAAGGAAAAGGAAGAGAAAACATGTCAGAGGTAAACTTGATGGGATTACTATGAAAATACACAGTACAAGGCCATAGTTTAGCATCAGTTTGCCTACATGTTCTGAAGGTAATGGGGATCTGAAAGCTAGGAGATTCTATCTACCCAAATAATTTAGAACTGAACCTGCCCTACTAGTCATTTGAGAAAGCAAACAACACCCACCTGCTACTAGTCAGGAATCACCCTGTCACCCTGTCCACAATTGATTAGAAAGACTAAAAGTTAAAAAGACAAATGCTTTCCAGATGTAAGTAAACCTTTGAATGCAGAAATGTTCTTACCTGATTAATTTTCCTAAGATTTATGTCTCCATCAATCCATCTTTCTGAGTACTCCCACTCTGTGAGCAAAACCAGAGGCAATTCAAGCACTGTGGCTGAAAGCTCTAGGCTTAAGCCCTAGCAGCAACAGATGTTCACTAGAGTAGCATTTCCACAGTCCTTGGCATAATTTACATATAGAATGATAACATATATGTACTCTCTTTTTTCTTTCCCTCCTTCTCTCTGTGTATGTGCCTGTCTGTATGTCTTAATACTACATGTTTTACTGTGGTATTCTTCAAGTAGCAAATAAAAAAAAAAAAACATCTAGACCTCAGTTGCTTGACTTAAGATCAAGAGAGACATTACCCATGAACCAAAAAAAATAATAATCAGGTAAGACTTTCCATTCTTGTGTCATAATTAGTTACTGTTGAAGCAGTAAAATGCAATTCTATGAAAGCCAGCAAAGAGGAAGCTTTGTGGTGGACAATGAAAATGAAGAGGGAAAACAGACAGATGAGGCAACTATTTGCAGCTTAAGTTTACACGAAGACATGCAAGGATATAAAAATTATTAGTATGGTCAGAGAAATTAATCACAAACCAAATAGGATTAGTTGAGAATAAGAATAAAAGGAGGGGAGAAAAATTAAGAATGGTGTTTTCAGGAGAAAGAAGTGAATAGATAGTAGAACAAGAGTATTTCCTTACATGGGATCTTCAGAAACAGATTTCATGAATA